TCTGACAGACATCTGGACAGACAGACATCTGACAGACATCTGGACAGACATCTGGACAGACATCTGGACAGACATCTGGACAGACATCTGGACAGACAGCATGACAGACATCTGGACAGACAGACATCTGACAGACATCTGGACAGACATCTGGAAAGACATCTGGACAGACATCTGGACAGACAGACAACTGACAGACATCTGGACAGACATCTGGACAGACAGACATCTGGACAGACATCTGTACAGACAGACATCTGGACAGACATCTGGACAGACAGACATCTGGACAGACAGACATCTGGACAGACATCTGGACAGACAGACATCTGACAGACATCTGGACAGACAGACATCTAACAGACATCTGGACAGACATCTGGACAGACATCTGGACAGACATCTCTACAGACATCTGGACAGACAGCATGACAGACATCTGGACAGACATCTGGACAGACAGACATCTGACAGACATCTGGACAGACAGACATCTGACAGACATCTGGACAGACATCTGGACAGACATCTGGACAGACATCTGGACAGACAGACAACTGACAGACATCTGGACAGACATCTGGACAGACATCTGGACAGACAGACATCTGACAGACATCTGGACAGACAGACATCTGACAGACATCTGGACAGACATCTGTATAGACATCTGGACAGACATCTGGACAGACATCTGGACAGACATCTGGACAGACAGCATGACAGACAGCATGACAGACAGCACGACAGACAGACAGCTGGACGGACAAACAACAACAAAAACAACAACAACAGCAACAAAAACCACAAGAACAACAACAAAACAACAACAACAACAACAATAACAACAACAACAAAAACAACAGCACCGTAAACACACCAAAAACAACAGCAACAACAACCTGCTTAAAAAATGTTACGGCTGAAATGTGAAACGGCTGCACCGCGACTGGGGGTGTGTGGTGTATGTGTGGGGTGTGTGGTTACATGCAGGTAATCGCTGGGTATCGATTAGGTGAGCCAGTCTGTCATGCCTGACTGTACACACTTATCACGTGATACCCGTCCATGGCTGATAATCTCATCATGCTTTACATTACATAAGCGGAGGAGAGAGAGAGTGAAGATGGGGGGGAGGGAGGATATAAATGATTAAAAAGGAGGCTTTAGGAGTAAGAGAGTGGGTAGGTTGAACAAGGGTAATGTACGTTAATATGTAGGTATAGACGTTAGGGGCGGAGTGGGGGGGGGGGGTCGGGGGAGGCGAGCGTAGCATAGGGAGAAGGATAAAGGGGGGGGGGGAGGGACAGAGAGAAGGTAGAGGGATGGAAGGGAGTGAATAGAGTGGGAGGGAGGATTGAAGAGGCAGGGGAAGAAGAGACTCGGAAGATATACAGAGAGGGTAGGAGTGATTGGGGAAATGAGAGATTGAGAGAGGTAAGGAGAGACTGGGAGAAGGAGGGAGCGTAAGATGGAGCCTCTCTCTGTTCCTACAGCTGTATAGATGCAGCCTCTCTCTATAAATGTACAGATGGAGCGCCTCTCTCTGCCTACAGCTGTATAGATGGAGCGCCTCTCTCTACAGCTGTACAGATGGAGCGCCTCTCTCTACCTACAGCTGTACAGATGGAGCGCCTCTCTCTGCCTACAGCTGTACAGATGGAGCGCCTCTCTCTACAGCTGTACAGATGGAGCGCCTCTCTCTGCCTACAGCTGTACAGATGGAGCGCCTCTCTCTACCTACAGCTGTACAGATGGAGCGCCTCTCTCTACCTACAGCTGTACAGATGGAGCGCCTCTCTCTGCCTACAGCTGTACAGATGGAGCGCCTCTCTCTACAGCTGTACAGATGGAGCGCCTCTCTCTGCCTACAGCTGTACAGATGGAGCCTCTCTCTACAGCTGTACAGATGGAGCGCCTCTCTCTACAGCTGTATAGATGGAGCGCCTCTCTCTACAGCTGTACAGATGGAGCGCCTCTCTCTGCCTACAGCTGTACAGATGGAGCGCCTCTCTCTACAGCTGTACAGATGGAGCGCCTCTCTCTGCCTACAGCTGTACAGATGGAGCGCCTCTCTCTACAGCTGTACAGATGGAGCGCCTCTCTCTGCCTACAGCTGTACAGATGGAGTGCCTCTCTCTGCCTACAGCTGTACAGATGGAACGCCTCTCTCTGTCTACAGCTGTATAGATGGAGCGCCTCTCTCTACAGCTGTACAGATGGAACGCCTCTCTCTGTCTACAGCTGTATAGATGGAGCGCCTCTCTCTACAGCTGTATAGATGGAGCGCCTCTCTCTGCCTACAGCTGTACAGATGGAGCGCCTCTCTCTGCCTACAGCTGTACAGATGGAGCGCCTCTCTCTACAGCTGTATAGATGGAGTGCCTCTCTCTACAGCTGTACAGATGGAGCGCCTCTCTCTGCCTACAGCTGTACAGATGGAGCGCCTCTCTCTACAGCTGTATAGATGGAGCGCCTCTCTCTACAGCTGTACAGATGGAGCGCCTCTCTCTACAGCTGTATAGATGGAGCGCCTCTCTCTACAGCTGTACAGATGGAGCGCCTCTCTCTACAGCTGTATAGATGGAGCGCCTCTCTCTACAGCTGTACAGATGGAGCGCCTCTCTCTGTCTACAGCTGTACAGATGGAGCGCCTCTCTCTACAGCTGTACAGATGGAGCGCCTCTCTCTACAGCTGTACAGATGGAGCGCCTCTCTCTGCCTACAGCTGTACAGATGGAGCGCCTCTCTCTACCTACAGCTGTACAGATGGAGCGCCTCTCTCTGCCTACAGCTGTATAGATGGAGCGCCTCTCTCTGTCTACAGCTGTACAGATGGAGCCTCTCTCTACAGCTGTATAGATGGAGCGCCTCTCTCTACAGCTGTACAGATGGAGCGCCTCTCTCTGCCTACAGCTGTACAGATGGAGCGCCTCTCTCTGCCTACAGCTGTACAGATGGAGCGCCTCTCTCTGCCTACAGCTGTACAGATGGAGCGCCTCTCTCTGCCTACAGCTGTACAGATGGAGCGCCTCTCTCTACAGCTGTACAGATGGAGCCTCTCTCTGCCTACAGCTGTACAGATGGGGCGCCTCTCTCTGCCTACAGCTGTACAGATGGAGCGCCTCTCTCTGCCTACAGCTGTACAGCTGGAGCGCCTCTCTCTACAGCTGTACAGATGGAGCGCCTCTCTCTGCCTACAGCTGTACAGATGGAGCCTCTCTCTGCCTACAGCTGTACAGATAGAGCGCCTCTCTCTACAGCTGTACAGATGGAACGCCTCTCTCTACAGCTGTACAGATGGAGCGCCTCTCTCTGCCTACAGCTGTACAGATGGAGCGCCTCTCTCTACAGCTGTATAGATGGAGCGCCTCTCTCTACAGCTGTACAGATGGAGCGCCTCTCTCTACAGCTGTATAGATGGAGCGCCTCTCTCTACAGCTGTACAGATGGAGCGCCTCTCTCTACAGCTGTATAGATGGAGCGCCTCTCTCTACAGCTGTACAGATGGAGCGCCTCTCTCTGCCTACAGCTGTACAGATGGAGCCTCTCTCTACAGCTGTACAGATGGAGCGCCTCTCTCTACAGCTGTACAGATGGAGCGCCTCTCTCTGCCTACAGCTGTACAGATGGAGCGCCTCTCTCTGCCTACAGCTGTACAGATGGAGCGCCTCTCTCTAAAGCTGTACAGATGGAGCGCCTCTCTCTACCTACAGCTGTACAGATGGAGCGCCTCTCTCTACCTACAGCTGTACAGATGGAGCGCCTCTCTCTACCTACAGCTGTACAGATGGAGCGCCTCTCTCTGTCTACAGCTGTATAGATGGAGCGCCTCTCTCTACCTACAGCTGTACAGATGGAGCGCCTCTCTCTACAGCTGTACAGATGGAACGCCTCTCTCTACAGCTGTACAGATGGAGCGCCTCTCTCTGCCTACAGCTGTACAGATGGAGCGCCTCTCTCTACAGCTGTATAGATGGAGCGCCTCTCTCTACAGCTGTACAGATGGAGCACCTCTCTCTGCCTACAGCTGTACAGATGGAGCGCCTCTCTCTACCTACAGCTGTACAGATGGAGCGCCTCTCTCTACCTACAGCTGTACAGATGGAGCGCCTCTCTCTACCTACAGCTGTACAGATGGAGCGCCTCTCTCTGCCTACAGCTGTATAGATGGAACGCCTCTCTCTACCTACAGCTGTACAGATGGAACGCCTCTCTCTACAGCTGTATAGATGGAGCGCCTCTCTCTACCTACAGCTGTACAGATGGAACGCCTCTCTCTACAGCTGTACAGATGGAGCGCCTCTCTCTGCCTACAGCTGTACAGATGGAGCGCCTCTCTCTACAGCTGTATAGATGGAGCGCCTCTCTCTACAGCTGTACAGATGGAGCGCCTCTCTCTACAGCTGTATAGATGGAGCGCCTCTCTCTACAGCTGTACAGATGGAGCGCCTCTCTCTACAGCTGTATAGATGGAGCGCCTCTCTCTACAGCTGTACAGATGGAGCGCCTCTCTCTGCCTACAGCTGTACAGATGGAGCGCCTCTCTCTAAAGCTGTACAGATGGTGCGCCTCTCTCTGCCTACAGCTGTACAGATGGAGCGCCTCTCTCTACAGCTGTACAGATGGAGCACCTCTCTCTGCCTACAGCTGTACAGATGGAGCGCCTCTCTCTACCTACAGCTGTACAGATGGAGCGCCTCTCTCTACCTACAGCTGTACAGATGGAGCGCCTCTCTCTACCTACAGCTGTACAGATGGAGCGCCTCTCTCTGCCTACAGCTGTACAGATGGAGCGCCTCTCTCTACAGCTGTACAGATGGAGCGCCTCTCTCTGCCTACAGCTGTACAGATGGAGCGCCTCTCTCTACCTACAGCTGTACAGATGGAGCGCCTCTCTCTCTCTACAGCTGTACACCAAGACGTCTGAAGCGACGGCCCCTGATGCACGTGCCCTCGCCAAGTTTCGCTCACTCACAGCCCGACCGTGCGGGGGAAAGACGAGACGCACACGGACGGCTAGGCGGAAGTGAAACCTAACGAAGGTGGGGCTGCGTTACGCTGTGAAAAAATACTGGACTGGATTAAAAGTTGGATCTGACTTTAGAAATTAGTTTATTTCCTTATTCACGTGTTTATGTGGTTTCTGACTGTGATTTGAGTCGGAGTTGGCGGTAACGTGTCGATAGCCTCCTAGTTCTGAAAGTGCCTGGTTCTGTGTAGAGTAATAGGCCATGTGAAAATATGTTTTGTATTTTAAAATGTAACGTAAATAATTAATGTGTGGATCAACATAAAAGAGTGGAATCCTAGAGATCGATGTGTGTTCATAACATGCTTAGTTAGCTCAAGTATAGCGTGACGTCATATTCGTTACTGACCACGTGATATTAGTTACCTGCAAAGTGACCACGTCACAGTAGTCACCTACAGGTCTGTCAGGCTATAGCAGGTACCTGCAGGAATATCACGCTAAGGCAGGTACTGCTGGGAGATCACGTGACTAGATCACAATGGATAAGGTGCACTGGATATATCGCGCCTTTAGATGTGAGTACTTTTCTTCTCCGCTTATTTCTGTCTGGCCGTGTTGTATAGGGCGAGGGGGTACGGATGGGTGGGGGTGCTATTGGCTCTACCCCCCCCCCCCCCCGGGGAGCGATGTCTATGTTGTTCAAGTGTTAAAAGCCCAAATCTAATTTATTATTGTAAGAAAATAAAAGATCGTTCAAAGAAAACCACATCGTTCTGTCCGCTGACGTTCGTAAGCACAGAAAAAACAAAGGAAAAACAAAGGGAAAACACAGGGACAACACTGGGAAAACGTGGGAAAACAAAGAGAAAATGTGAAGAAAACAATGGGCAAACACATGGAAAACAAATCAAAGAGGAAACAAAGGTGACTGTGGGAGTGTAATCAAATACATAAATAGGCAAGTCAACACACACAAAACCCCCAAACATACATTATGTTTCTGTTAACACAACACACAAACGTAATTACAATCCACGACATACTCATACACATCATATAACACACATACAGTGTTAGCATCGCTCAAGTTTTAACACAACACAGTTGTACACAGCACTAATACACACATACAACACATCACCAACACAACACAGTTGTACACAGCACTAATACACACATACAACACATCACCAACACAACACAGTTGTACACAGCACTAATACACACATACAACACATCACCAACACAACACAGTTGTACACAGCACTAATACACACATACAACACATCACCAACACAACACAGTTGTACACAGCACTAATACACACATACAACACATCACCAACACAACACAGTTGTACACAGCACTAATACACACATACAACACATCACCAACACAACACAGTTGTACACAGCACTAATACACACATACAACACATCACCAACACAACAAGACGAACCGAATACACACACACATTAACACCAGCGCATCAACAACTCACACACACGCACACTCGCGCACACACACACCCGCGCAGGTAGACTGAATCATCGGTGTAAACACTTACCTTTACCGTGATTACAGAACCAGTTCTAGGTGAGTCTGTTCAACTCATCTCACCTGACGTCAGATGGTAGGGACCGTCTAGGCTACGGCAAAGTTTAGCTTAGGTTAAGGGTTAGACAAAAACATAAAGCTTGCCACTAACTAGAGGGTTTGGGCCGTCTAAGCTACGGCAAAGTTTAGCTTAGGGTTAGGGTTAGACAAAAACATAAAGCTTGCCTCTAGCTAGAGGGTTTGGGTTAGACATAACCTTAGGAAAGGTTAGAATAAGAAGAAAGTCGACAACTCGAACATTTTGTTTGAATCAAACGCCATAAAGTTGGTAAGGGAAGGAGCCAGTGAAATACCAACACAATAGCAGACTAAACATTATTCGTTTCAATAGTTGGTTACAAACTTTAAACCTCTACTGATGCAGATATTCGGTCGAGGGGAGGTCTTGTGTTGGTGATTGCGAGTGATTTATAGCCAGTGTTTCTTCCAGACTTTTTTCTCCGGGGTGGGGTGGGGGCACTTGAAATTTTCGGGGGGGGGGGGGAGTGGCGGTAGACTTTCTTCGGGGGGGGGGAGGCTGTTAAAAGTATATATTTTCTATATAGATTATAGAAATTTCATTTCGTTCGGGTGGGGCCTTAGAATTTTTTCGGGGGGGGGGGGGGGGGGGCTTTGCCCCCCCCCCCCCCCCCCCCCCGAAGAGATGCCTGGAAGAAACTCTGTTTATAGCTAAAAAATACTTAAGGTTTTCTAGAACTTGAAGGGATCTATTGGGGAATGGATTTGTTGTGGAAGTTATATAGTGAGACCTTATCTTTGGGGAATAGTTTTGTTGTACAAGTTATGTAGCAAGTCTTGGCGAATAGTTTGTTGTGTAAGTTATATAACAAGTTATGCAGCGAATAGTTTTTTTGTTATATAACGTCTTGGAGAGTAGATTTGTTGTAGAAGTTATATAACAAGTTGTACAGCGAATACTTTTGTTGTTACATAGCAAGCCACATTTTTATTTTAACCTGATGGTTGATTGGACACAGGCCAGGTGAACTTCAGGTAAACAGCAGCCATGTTGTTACGTCAGCGCTTTGTTTATGTTTCAGCGAGCTGCATGCAGACATTTTAGAACAGACATTTTACAGGCAGACATTTTACAGGCAGACATTTTACAGGCAGACATTTTAGAACAGACATTTTACAGGCAGACATTTTACAGGCAGACATTTTACAAGCAGACATTTTAGAACAGACATTTTACAGGCAGACATTTTACAGGCAGACATTTTAGAACAGACATTTTACAGGCAGACATTTTAGAACAGACATTTTACAGGCAGACATTTTAGAACAGACATTTTACAGGCAGACATTTTAGAACAGACATTTTACAGGCAGACATTTTACAGGCAGACATTTTACAGGCAGACATTTTACAGGCAGACATTTTACAGGCAGACATTTTACAGGCAGACATTTTACAGGCAGACATTTTACAGGCAGACATTTTACAGGCAGACATTTTACAGGCAGACATTTTACATGCAGACATTCCCTATCACCAGTTTAAACAGATATTTAAGACGTTTTTAGCTTATAACATAAGGTATTTTTCAACTCATTAGTAAGTGACACCTACGTTTTGTAATCAAGTCCTTTGCTGTAAGTAAGTCTCACTTTCTCTTCTTGGATCCCATATTCAGGTGTGTATGACCTATTCGACGCCTGATATATGCAACTATGACATTTTCCCACGAAGACGATATATTTAAATCTCTTATGATATCAGAACTTTGGGGGATAAACTTGATTGTAGAATCGGGAGAAAGTGTCGTATTGATAAAAAACAACAACAACGAAATGTCGTTTGCATACTTTGTATATTTACCCCCCGCCCCTCCATTACGATGTAAGAATCTATTCCTGGATTAAATCAACGAAAACAAAACAAAATGTCTTCCTCTATACCGCTCACACACCAGTCAACTATCTACTCCACCACCATGCTCACACTGTGCGCACATGCACGTGCCTTACAGCCCCCCCCCCCCCTCATCACTGACACGTACACAATCAACCGTTTTTAGTGTCATGCAATTAGTTTTTCTCTCCCCTTTTTACAAGCCGCCCATCAAAGGGAGACAAGCTTCTCTAATTAAGTGACATTTATTAACGCCACTTGGTTAGTTTACTTCCCCTGGTCGTTTGATTTGGTCGTAGGGCGAATAAAATGTCGTGATTGGGAGGGAATTCTCTCGGCTCATCAATATTTCACAACCTCTCAAAACATTTGATTTACCCCGGGACTATACCGGACATAGGGACTCTCTGCTAGAGTCCTATGTATCCCACACATCGCTGACTCAGCACTTTTAGTTAGACATTTATTGACCGAACGATTGTATGGGACCATAGGTACTAGCACGATTTTTTGTTAGGGAGAGGAACGGGGGAGGCGGACGTTCAATCTTAAAGGCATTTTGTATATATATATATATATATATATATATATATATATATATATATATATATATATATATATATATATATATATATATATATATATATATACTAGGCATACTGCCTAGCTTCGCTTAGGTTTTTAAAAAACATTTGAGAATTTGAATACTTAATTATTTAGCGATGGATTGGGTGAGGAGTGCTTTAATAAGTTGAATTTAAACAGTAATGCTAACTTTAGAAAAAACATGTTTTTGTTCGTAATTTAAATACAGTTCATAGAGAATTTTTGGAAAGTACGCAATGTATAACTAAAATGGAATTAGAACTACACAGGTTTCATGAACATTATATCTCATAGTTTATATTACATTGCCTTTTGAAATTAATTAATTAATTTATTTAGGATACTTAACTAAATTAACAACTTAATTTTGTACTAAAACAAATGCTATACTTCGTCATTTTCTGTTTCTGTTTAAAATAGTATACAATTATTTGAAAAATAATAATTTTAAAAACGTTACCTCCCTTGAAAACTGAACGTATGACGTATGTCATTGTTTACTTATATTGTTTGCTTATATAAGAAATTACGTTATATGAACATATTTAACGACTATAATGGCTGTTTCCGACGGGAATAAAGTTTTTTTTGTTACCCTCCAGGGTCGGTCTACGACGTCACATAATATGAAGGGGATCGTTCGTCAATTTATTTATATATATATATCTCATATAATGAGAATTTCACTCAAGACCATCTTTTAGCCCTCGTCGAGGGCTTTGAGTCTGACCAACAGCTTTTCCATACGGCCTAGTCATCTATAGTAGTGTATGCAAAAACTTAGCATGATGTACAGACATTAAGTAACCTAAAAATTGTGTTAAAATTTCCCTGTTTTTCCCATAAAATACAAAGATTATATAGGGAAATACAACTGGTCAGTTTTGACCGCTTTACGAAGTTTTCCCAGATATGCCGTGTTTTTTATGACAACCCTAGGTGTTCTTCTACCACCTCACAAAATATCAAGGGGGGTCGTCGGAGGAAATTTTTTTTCCTAATAGAGCTCATATAAAGAGAATTTCACTCGCGGTCACTTTTTAGCCCTCGTCGAGGGCTTTGAGTGTAACCGACAGTTTTCCCTAAAGGTCAAGCCATTAACCCAGGAGCATGCAAAAAATTAGCCAGATATACTGAGCTTAAGTACCCTAAAGTCTGCGTTGAAATGACCCTCTGTTTTTCCCATAAAATACAAAGATTATATAGGGAAATACAACTGGTCAGTTTTGACCGCTTTACGAAGTTTTCCCAGATATGCCGTGTTTTTTGTGACACCCCTAGGTGTTCTTCTACCACCTCACAAAATATCAAGGGGGGTCGTCGGAGGAAATTTTTTTTCGTAATAGAGCTCATATAAAGAGAATTTCACTCGCGGTCACTTTTTAGCCCTCGTCGAGGGCTTTGAGTGTAACCGACAGTTTTCCCTAAAGGTCAAGCCATTGACCTATGAGCATGCGAAAAAATTAGCCAGATATACTGAGCTTAAGTACCCTAAAG